AGCTGACAGCAGTTTGTAGTGGTGTTACACGCAGGCTGGCCTGGTTTGTGGTCACCATCATGGGGGTGACGGATGGCAACTTGGAGAGGTTGTATCAGCCTCGGGACTACCAGGCAAGGATGTGAGGGGTCGATGTTAAAACCGTTGAACCCTTTTGAACCGGTTAATTTGCTGTACTCTTTTACCGTTTACTGACGATTTGCTCAATATTTCTCCTACGTTTGCGGGTACACTATTAACATATCCTTTATTCTTCTCACGGGGTAAAATGTTGACCAAAGAAACACAATTACATGATTTGAGCACGTTTGTTCAACCATGCCAGCGTTGGTTGTTACATCCATTGGAACAAACGTTCAACTAGAATAATTGCGGATGGTGCGAATTTGCCAGGGCGCTTATTGCAATCTTGAGACAAATTGGAACGGCGGGCCGAACTTGCTTGGCTACACCAAGCAGAGCTTCACCATGAACGTGAGCGCCGTGACGGATGTCATTGTGAAGCAGATGATGTGCTCTACTGCGGCCTCGCAGGTCCTGACACAGACAGTATCAGGCATGGCTGGCTTGCAGCCCGTCCATGGTGTTGTGATAGATGGTTTACGCAGGGCCATCAGCCCAGGCTGCTTGCTTTCTTGGTGGATGCACCGGCCTTCTTTTTGGATGTGTTTCCCCCCTGGCAGGCAACTCGCCTTTGCTGGGCAATTTGGACCAGCAGGACTACCTCTGCTCTTGTTGTCTGATCCCCTGCGACAAGTGCTCTGGCTCGCTGCAGGTTGGGCCCGGGTTGGATTTCGGAGATTGACCAGTCATTTTCTTAACTGGAGCCTGACAAACGATTCCGGGAAGTTTGTGACACATTTGCGCAGGCCTCCGTTTACATTCTCAGTGGGTTGCTGGAACAATCCCTCGTTGTTGGTTCATATTGCCGGTCGCTCTTCAAGAAGGTCGCAAATGAAAGATTGTGTTGCCCGATATTGCTTTCACACACGGCAGACGCACATTTGTACCATTGAGCGAAGCTGCTAGGGAACCGCGAAACCCGCAGATAAGCAGTGACGATTCTACCTTCACCGAAGCTGAGTCTCATTTCTCTATGACGTAGGCAAACAGTTATTCTGAAAGCTCCAGGAAATCAAATTAAGGGCAAAACAAGGACATTAATTGCATAGGCAATAGGCAATTGCATGAGATTGCTGAAGCAATGCATGGAAACACACACACACACACATTCACATTTGGTTGGCTCCTGAATAAAGTTTGTGCTCTCTTGAGTTTGCCATCCAAAGAAGACACATGACACATTGGTAGATTTTCTGTTGAGCAGTGTAGTGCTATACAATCCTGACGCAACGGTCCGGGGTCTGTGGTTCTGTCAGGATGTGTAAAACGTTTGACGCCTGGGCAAAGGCAATCCCGCACCTTCCGTATACCGTATAAGTGTATCAAACATCAAAATACCATTTGTGGATGGACAAAATCCTGCACCATTTTGAAACCATGGCAAACCATTGTCAGTTGGTATTTACAAGGGAATCATCCTTCCAGGGTCTCTGAGGTTGTGCAGGATTTCGTCCATCCACAGTATGGAGACATAGGACAGCTGAAGCACCACAGCTGAATCAGCTGTCCCAAAACAAGGAACCCCGCTGAGTTGCTGTGGTTCTTTTTCCCTTCAGGTGGGTGGAGACTTGGCCAATGTGGCGGACATCGCCAGCGTGATCACTGCGAAGCTCACGGAGCTAAGGGGCAAGGTCAGCCCAGACAACCTCTTCTCCCCGTCTGGTGCCAATGGTGAGGTGGGACGGGACTTTCCGGATTCGTTGGATGCGTTCGGGCAAGGCGTCAAGGCCTTCGGGAGGAATCAGCGCTCTTGTGGCTAAAGAGGCGTTATGGGAAGCTGGTGGCCATGCCTTAGACAAAAAGCGTGGTTTGGTTTGCACAGATTGTGTTGCACCGCGCGCCGTCCAAGATGTTCTTCATGCGTGACAGATGCCGGTTGGGAGAAGGCAAAATCAGGTCCATGAAAATCTGCACCCAGGATTGAACTATCCAGAGCGTTTCGAGGGAAAGTGCTGTGATGAGCCCATTCTGTAAGACATGTGTGCTGGACATGATCTAGCTTCAGCGCGAAGTGCCTGGATTGGTGACAGAATTGGAGCTGGTGGGAACATGTCAAACTGGATAAAAACGGGGTAAACACCGCAGGGTTGCTCTCGTTTTTTTCTTCTCTGAGACACGGGCGGCCTTTTCTTTGGTCACGTTTTTTCCCAGACGGCTGTTCGAAAGACATGGGACATCTTCGAAGGTCTTCTCAGAGATGTGGAGCGAGGCCAACCTCTACTTCAACGAGGCCGTTGCACGACTTTCGTTAATCAGATGACTAAATTTTGAGTCATTTCAGTCAGAAATGAGTCAAAGAGATGAGTCAATGATCGAGTCAAACAGACGAGTCAAAAGTCTGAAATTTAAAGTCATCGGGTTCCCCTTCGAAAGACAGGGTTTTCCAGAGATGGATAAAATCCATGAGTGGCAGTTGGGATGTGTGGTTGATCAACCAGTATTCCTAGGGTTTTATTTATTCCCACTGGGATTCCGTGCATCCAGGTGTGCCTTACCAGCTGCAGCGCAGACTTTGCGAGCGTGAATGGCTCTGCGACTCCCCGGGAGTACATCTACGACATGGTGCCCGACAGCGATTTGAAGCTCGCCTTCGACACCATCAAGAGCTACTCAGGCCGGGTGCGACTGAGGGGCTTGTGGTGTCCAGACTCTGGACTTTCTCTTGGGCTTGCCCAAAGACACCGATCTTGGAGACCTGAAGCCTTGGCCAAAAAGGCAAATGGCTGAAGAGTTCTCAAGTTGAACCTTTGGTTCAGACTCAGTGCTTCCCCAACCCCAAACCAAAGACAAGCGCGAGGAGATCAAAGATGCGCTTCAACCTGGTATGTCCAAAGCACCGCAAATGTTCTCAAGTGTTGAGGATGTTGAAAGGCGATGATGAAGGAGTGACTGGCGCTTGTTTTTGGCAGTCTGCGCTCTTGCCAGTTCTGCACTTAAGTCGACTATCCCACCACACCCTTCCCAAACATCAATCAATATTCGGTGCAAGCAGAGGATGCGAAAAGTCGAAGCCAAAAAAGCCACCAAGCCAAGAAGCCGAGAAGCCGAGAAGCCGAACAGCCAATGCGGTTCAGTTCCTCCCATTGCCATGCCCCGCAAGGCTCCCGTGCGGACGTGACCGCCATCCGGACCGTGATCAGCGACAGCTTCAAGTTCGAGGCCCTGCCGCTCAGCGTGTGCCCCTACAGCGCCAAGCGCTGCGTGCCCATGCCGGGCGTGGAGTTCCAGGCGGGGGGACGGACCAGAGGTGTCCTCTTTGGTGGGTTTGCAGAAAACGAAATGAAGGGGTTCCCCTGGTTTAAATGGGGTTTGTTCCATTTACCAGGGCCATCTATTTTTCCAAAAGGCCACCTATGGTCAGGTCTCACCTCTCGAAACTCACCCTGGCGCCATGGGGCTGAAAAGGCTGCATTTCACGGATCGAGATCAGTTTGCCCCCGCCAGGGGCTCTGTGCTTTTGGGCGCTCCCGAAAGCCCCGAGGAGCTGACGTCGAACTACTGCACCTTCTCCATGACGGCAGATGTGGTGAACACCCTGGGCTCGGCCTTCAGTGGCGCGGCCGCGTTTTGGGAACCGGCAGTTCTTTCGGAGACGGGAGGGACTCAAGGAACGGTTTAAAAACGGCCCGCTGGCAACTCAACGACGAAAAAAGTCGACACGTTCTCACGCAATCTCAGGATATAGATATTGTCAAGGTTTCGCCTTGGTGGAAGGGTTTACAATTGAAAAGTTGTTGGAAGCAAAGCTTTTGGCTTCCGCCCACCCACCCACCCAACCACCCACCCACCCACCCACCCACCCACCCACGCACGCACGCACGCACCCACCCACCCAACCAACCAACCAACCAACCAACCATGGAGTCGCTCCATGGGAGCACCGCGAGTCTTTGAGGTGCCACCTTTGAATCTCTTGGGATGAACGCCTTGGGGAACTCGATGATGGACACCGTGGGCACCTGGATCGGGGACTTCCAATCCTCCTTGGATGCCTTCGTGCTGGTCTTGCTCGTCTCCTTCCTCATCGGATTCATCTACATGGTGGCCCTGAGGTCTCCCGGATTCTTGAGGTCCGTGATTTCAATCACGGCAAACTGCACTCCAACTCACTTTCGCACATTCCGCAAGGGATCACGACAGCAGTGAGCAGTCATCAGCCGTCACATTTAGTGAGCTCTTAACCCATACTGATACCAATCAAACCCTTATCTCCGAATTCATTTTTCAATGATTCAGTCAGCGTCCTTTTGGTGCAACGCCACTCCGAGGTTTTTGGTGGGCGTGTGCGTGTGGATCTCGGTCTGCCTTTTCTTCGTGATCCTGGTCCTGGGCGGGGCAATGTCCTTCATCTCCTCCTCGCGCTGCTCAGGTGAGCGCGTCTTTGACACGGGATCCATGGCGATTTGGTACGGGATCTTTGGACTTTAGCTTTTTGGGAAGTGGATTTTCCATTGAGAGGGGTCAACGTTTGGGAAGTGACTTTTGCATTGGACCCTTCAACAGTTGCTCACTTTTTGCAGCGGGGTCGTTGCAACCGAGACGCGTGTCACCTTTTTGCTCGCCGAGTGGGGCTGGCTTGAGACTAGCAGGATTGGATCGTCGATATGTTCCGAAGCCTTGATAGTCAGTACCCGCCACAAGGGCACAGAAAAAACAAACCTCCAGTGGCCAGTGGGTAAGGAGGGAAAACAGGGCACCAGTGGAGGTCTGCATGTTCAAGTATCCATCAGAAACAAACAAGCAGTTGGCTCAGGAGAGTTGCAACCATTCTAACACTCGCCCATTTCTGGAATTATTTATCGGTCGATTCCTGGCCTCTCAATGGTGCATTTCATATTGGGTGTTCACCGTATCGGATGGAGGTATCCTTTGGAGAGGAGTGCACTTTGCAAGATCAGCTCCACTTAAACATTTATCATAGCTGCATTACCCACTGAGAATCCAGAAAGTACTCCCAAAGTTGGTGGATCCATGTTTGCCGAAAGCTATCACCCTGGCTTCTTTCTCTTTTTTCCCCAGCTGCAAGCTATGGTCCCTTTGCCCAATGGTTCGGAGCTGAGGGAGGGTTCAGGGTAGCTGTTGGGATATTCATGGGGGCTGTGGGGGGGGAGGGAGAGAGCGGGGGAGTAGACACCGTGAGAGCTCACTTGGGCTTGTCATCTTTCCTTGGACGGCAGGGGTCGGCATTTTTGAGACTGGGCAGCAGCTGGTGGTGGGGGCTGCGACCACGGTCTCTGTGGCAGCGCAGAATGCGATCGACCAGACAATCCCCGCCAGCGAGGTGCTGTCTGGTGTGCGGGACTCCAACTACACAGGAGCCGCTAGAGCGGTGGCGCAAGACTTTTTTGGACTCAACATGCGTCCTTTTTTGGCACCATAGTGCATTTTGCCAAAGCAATCCGGCAAAATGTTGGTCGGGGCTCAGACTTGACTCAGACTTGACTGGTGGCCTTTCCGGGTATAGCACGAAGCTAAACAAAGGAGTCCAGCGCTACACCCAGATGGGGTGGCTTTGTGCGGACTGGGGTGCGGCAACCAACGCGGATCCCTCCTACAACAGCACCAACTACCCAGACTCCAACCTGGTGAAGAACTACTGTCGCAATCCCTTCAAGGACGCGGACAGGCACAAGGCTCGATTCTGGAAAGCAAGAAACATCCAAGCCAACGTTCAAGCCAGCTTGGCTTGAGTAGATTTTGAGACCACAAGCAAGCGTGACCTGGTAAGCAGTGATTCCTTTGATTCTGATCTTCCGTTTGGCACTCGGTGCGGTCAGGCCAGGACCATTTGGTGCTTCACGCAGGATACGGAGGTCCGCTGGCAGGAGTGTTCGCCCATCGGCGTGATCAAGCCCATTTGCGAGCACGGGTACGACATCCAGAGCGAGGAGCCCAAGTTCACAATGGCTTTGTCTCCAAATTGGTGAGCACCCAACACTCCCCCCGGCTCAAAATGAGAGGTTTTGAGCCAACCCCAAGATTACACTCAACAAATGTCATGCCCATTTGTTTCTTCTTCTTGGTTTTACATGTTCAAGACGGGTGACTTGGCAGACCCATTTCCACAGACAACAGTTTGGCCTTGGCCACTTGAGGGAAATCAGACGAGCCTTCAGCTGAAGCAAACTTGTTTTGACACAAATCCACACAGCACACCAAGATAAAGCTAACATTTGGAACGGACCCAGTTTAGACAAAGTTTCACATGGGCAACACAGTCGGCGCACATATTTGCCTGCATCCAGCAGTGAATGCAGGAGCTGCGAGTGGTGCTTGAGATTGTGGCCTACATCCTGTGGGTCCTGGCCCTTATCTACTGCATTGCAGTTTGCTGCCTCACTGACAGGACTGCTCGGCTGCCTTCTCAAGGAACAGCAAAGCCCTCCAATTGACATGGTCAGGCGTCAAAGTCACTGACCACGTGAATGGTTTTGTGCTACAATTGCTTCGCAAAAGAGCTTCGAGGCACCGCACAAGTGTCTTACGACTGCAGAGACATGTGCGTCATGGTGTGGCTCTCCCTGTGCTTGTCCCAAAAACTTGACACGAGTCTGTTAAGCTCCATATGCAGAGTGTCGAGTGGGATCTGTAAATGGATGGAGCTGGATGAGAAAGCACCAAAAGCATGATGCATGTCAAAAACGTCTCATATAAAGTGGTTGCTCCTTCCTGTCTCAAGATCAACATGCTGTGGCAAGCCCTTTTCTGGTGGATCTCTGGCTGAGGCCCGTGCCCCCAAATCCAGACCTTACTCTCGCCCCTCCGGAAGCCAAGTGAGCCGCAGGATCCGCTTGGCCATCGCGGTGAACAAGGTGGCCTCGGTCTTTGTGGTGCACACCCCCCGGATCCTGGTGCTGCCGGTGGTGCAGTCCCTGCTGGCGGGGATTTGGACTCTGGTCTGGGGCATCTCTGCCGCGTTCCTGCTCTCCCAGGCCGCGGGTGGAGGTTTCGAGAGACGAGAAACACAGATTTTGAGAGGCCAGGAGAACCTCTTGGCCTACGGATCCGATTTAGCTGGCAGGCCAACAGAACCTCTTTTGTGGCAGGATACGCCCCTTTTTCTCATTTGCCAGCTTTTTTTCTGCGTTGCGCAGACGGAGTCTCTTTTCCGAGCGGCAGGGCATGGATGGATATGAATAGAACCTCGCAGTTGAGAAAGTTCAGGCAAAGTCTTTTTTTGGTCTTTGGTTTACAATGCTGCCCAACAATGGACGGACGCCGCAAAATGTCTAGAAGTAGATTTCACAAGTTTCGGGGATTTGCTGAGCTGGCAGGGTAATGAACGCCTTTTTGTTTCTTGTTGGCTGCATGCAGAGGTTTTGACCATACACGTGCACCGATTGATTTACTTCGTTGCTTCAAGAAGACTACAGGTGAAACGACATGAATATGAGTTTTTCCTAGAGAGTTTCAGGTGTATACTGGTTTGCGGCCGCAGGCCCCACCAAATGCCCGACGATACATTTTCATTGGGAACCCGTGGATCAGACCTGGCCACATAATTTTCTCCACCACCCTTCAGAGGTGCCTAGCGGCTACGTCCCCTCCGGTGCCTACCTGACCTACGCTGAGGCCTATGGTAGCGCCACAGTGCCAGGCGCCTGCACCGACAAGTGGCCCACCGGCAGCGTGTGGAAGGACGAGGAGAACTGCCCGCTGGTGAACGGGACTGCTGTCGGGGGCCCCGGAAAACCCTGAGCGGAAGGAAGGTCAGGATATGACTGGGCTGTTCACAGGCAGTCCTTAAATCTCTCCCTCAGTTGCGCCATGGGTGCCCTTTGTAGTGGTTTTTCTTTGGGATTTGTTGGGATTGACCAATGGCTCTATTTTGAACAGCCCAGAATATTTGAACTTAGATGCCCGCCTTGAAGGTGAATTCTGAAGGTTTTCGGAGCTAGCCTTCCAGGTTACTGGCGCATTTGTCTTGTGGCCATGTCGTCATCATGCGAGATTCCTTCAAAAGCTGGAAACACGGCTTTCGCCCAGGTCACGTCATTCGAGGCATGGGAATGCGTGAAATCCGGGACCCGTCAGTAGTCCATTTCTTCCGGCCAGTCGAGCGCCAAGGCCTGCTGGAAGTGTTCTCCCCCGCGCTACTCCTTCGACTGGCGGTTCTGGGTCTCCTTCTTCAACTTCTTGTGGAACAGCGCCCTGAACATCGCCGTGGGCCAGTGCATCATCGCGGGGGCCGTATGTGTTTGGTTCTTTACCCCGCAGCTCGATGCAACGAATGGATGGGGAGGCGATTGGAGGAGCTCACAAAATTCAATCAACTTGGATTGGAGCTTCCTGGTAGCCTTCTATTGGTTTGGGCTGAACACAACCTCCATTGGCGGGCAGCGCTCTACTCTGCACAGCCCAACAGATCTCAAAGACAACTATATATTGTTTGGACTTGCTGGTCAGTTCATCTCAAAGAAGTGGTTCACCCCGGTCCCCTGTGCAAGCGCTTTCGCAAGCGCTTTCGCAAGCGCTTTCGCAAGCGCTTTCGCATTTTGGTTGGCAGCTTAGGAACGGCGAGAAGGGGACACGGCCCGCGATCAGAAGCTCGTTGTACAACGTCTTCCGCTTCCACATGGGTTCACTGGCCTTTGGCGCCTTCATCATCGCGGTGGTCCAGCTTGTTAGGCTGGAGAGTAAGCAGTCAGCGAACCGCACGTGTGGATCAGATCCTTCTTCGAAGCGCGTACGGTGTTGACTTGCTGCTTGCAGGGTTTCACCAGGGAAATGAGCTTCGGCGCCAAAGGATTGCAGCGGGCCCTTGAAGGGGTTTGGATTTTTAGCTGAAGGGGGATGACGTTTTTTGGATGACTATAAAGGAGCTGCTTGCGCACTCCATGTCCCTCACTCGTAAGATGTTGCTCGGCGCAGCTTGCATATTTCTTCCATACGTACAGGCAAAAGCACATGTCTGTTGTGGCAAAGTAGTCCTAAGCTTTCTTCATCAACTTTGATGTCATGGCAGCCTTGTCCTTTTCCTTTGTTTGGTTCACCCCAATTCCAGGCAGAGGATTCCCTAAGGGTGCTATATCACTCAAAAGCGTGTATCCCGCTAGATTGTAGATTTTTACCACCACCGCAAGCAAGCAAGCAAGCAGGGCAGGGCGGGGCGCAGGGCAGGGCCCAAGGCAAGGCAAGGCAAGCACCCTAATCCCTCACGAACCACCTTTTCACTTCAAAACCGCTAAACTAACTCTACACCAACCCCAGCCCCACCCCCATCCTAAACCCACCTCAAATCCACCGCAAACCCAACCTGAGCCTACCCTAAGCTCACGCTATGCCCGCCTCTAACCAACCCCTACACCCATCTTAAACCCAAACCCACCCCAAACCTAAAACCAACATTACACCCAATCCGAAGCACCCCACAAACCTATCGCTAAACCCACCCCAAACCAACTACAACTAACAAAAATACCTGATGGCTTCGCTTCGGTGCAGGTACATGCTAAAGTATTACGAGAAGCAGGCAAAGGCGCAGAAGAATCGCGTCCTGGTGATGATCCTGCGTGCGCTGCAGTGCCTGGTTTGGTGCTTCGAGAAGTGCTTGAAGTTTCTCAACAAGAACGCCTACATCCAGATCGCGCTGATGGGCACCAACTTCTGCACCTCTGCCAGGAAGGCCGGACAAAAGATGACAGACAAACAGGGAGACAACAATTGGTCCGAAACGAGTGAAAGATGGTCTGCGTGCTTTGCTTGTTTGTTTGTTTGTTGGTTGGCTGGCGTACGCCAGCCAGGTTTCTTTCTTTGTTTGTTTGTTTGTTGGTATGTTTGGGTTTGGTTTGTCTTGTGTTGCGTATTTTGCTTGTTTGCTTTAGTTTATTTGTCTTGCCTTGCCTTGCTTGGTTGTTTTGTTAGTTTGTTGATTTGTTTATTTGTTCTGTTTGTCTAGAAGTACACCTGAAACGTTGTCTTTTCGCAACCGCCTCTTGCAAGATGCAGCGATGTTTACACGAGTTTGCGTTTGACAACCCAATGCTGGAGACTTCCTAATAAATATTCCAGCCTTTCCGTTTGGTCAAGAGCACGTCTTCCTAACATCCAAGACTTGCAAAGAACATGAACTCGCTTGCCCATAGCCATCCTTACCTTGGTTTGCCAGTGGTCCGATAGGTTTCCAAAGGTCCCTTATCCAGGTCCTTGGGGCAGTGAAGCAAATGGCTAAAGAATTCAGTCGAGCTGTCGCCTTCATCTCCAGAGCTAGGAACAGTGCTCTCACATGCCGTCACTGGAGGCGGCCAAACTCATGACTGATGCGTGTTTGAAACAACACTCTTGAACCTGTTTAAGAGAGACCAGATGTGGAGTGGTTTGCCCTCGTTCGTTTTCTCACACGACATCCCGATGCCTTTTTTTGGAGGCCTTCTTTCTGATCATGCGCAACGCCCTCCGCTTCGGCACCGTGGCCATCCTCGGGAGCATGATCCACATGATCGGCATCCTCGCGATGACGGCGGGCACGGCCACCTGGCCGGACCTCCATGCGCATCGTTTGTGTGTTCCCCAGACTCCAAAAGCAATGTACAGCCGGTGAAGCTGAGCCATGTGCGGACTTTTGTGGAGTTTTGCGTGTTTTTTTTTGGGGGGTCAAAAGCACGATTCAAAGGCCATGACTAGATGGCAGATGGCTGGTTTTCGTTTTGGGCGAAAACCAAACACGACATTTTTCAGTCCAAGGTCTTGAACGAGCGAGTTTGAGCAGAATAGGCAAGCTCTGATCAAATGCTTGGGGTGAAGCTCCTTTTTCGAGATAGGCCTGGACTTTGGGTGCGTCGCTGGCAGAGGCTTCAACCATACGGCCTTCAAGCTGCTCTCCCTCAAAGCCAAAGCCAAGTCAGCTTCCCCCAGCTCAGTCAAGCCTTTCGCACAAATATGGCCATGGGTCAAAACCCCGTACCCCTACTTAACATCCCAATCCCCACTACAAAAGGTTCTAAAATGGGTGGTGCACCCCCAAAATGTGATCCCATTGGTTTTGACCCACGGCCATATGGCTCACCGCTGGACTTCGGCTGAACCGCGAAGTGAGGTGGTGATGGGCTACTTCATCCTCTCGGGTCTGCACCCGAACATGGCGCCGGCGGTGCCCATCCTGACGCTTGGAGGGTATTTTTTTGGGTGCGGGTGGTGCGGGAAGGATGCTTTGCATTTTCTCCGCGAATATGGGAAGAGGGGATTTCAGAGAGTATCTTCAAGTTCGATGGATTGCTTGAGCTGGCTGAACACTGATCTCCGGTCAAGCCGAACTCAATTTGCCAGGTCTATTCTTGGCCATTCCCCGTTTCTTTTTCAGACCAGCTCCAGACCACCGAGTTGGGACCGAGCGCACGCGCCACGGCCAAGCGTCAGGATCTACGTGATGTTGGGCTACATCGTGGCCAAGCTCTTCACCAGTATCTTTGAGCTGGCGGTAGACACAACCCTGCAGTGCTTCCTCTGCTGCGAGGAGGGGCAGAGGGAGTGGGGCCCAAGGCCCACTGCTTGAAGAAGCCCATGAGGCCTGCTTTGCAAACCTGCTTTGGATGCAGCAGAAACAAGATGAGCCATACTTTGCGGACAGGAATTTGCCATGGAAGCTGGCAAGGGTTTGCAAAACACCCAAGACGACTGGCCATCTGACCTCTAAAAGAAATGGCTTTGCAACACAGACAATGTGATTAAGGGCGTGGAATAGGTCGGTTTTCTTGGCTGAGCAAAGGCCAGTCGTCCAAGACCCAGATGGTTTTTGCTGCAAGGCCTGCAGAAGCGAACATTGGTTGGCCAAGAAGACGCGTGTTCTTTCACCAGGGCCGCACTGTATGATGGACTTCTGTGGGCCTGGCATAAGTTTTTCTCTCCTGGGAAATGCGGAACGTGGCTTACCCGAGTTTCTGAGTTTCGGTCCAGAGGATTCCGCATCCCCCAAACTTTCGATTACCCCGCACCCGTTTTTCCTTCTCCTTTGATTCTGAGTCACTCCACTTTCGATCTTTCGACCGCCCCCCTTTGGCACTTTCCTCTGGTTTTCTTCCCACTTTTGACCGCCCCCTTTGGCACCCGCCCTTTTTTGCTTGTTAGGAGCTGAACATCGCGGAGATCGGGGACGAGGGCTTCGTGCCGTCCTCGCTGGCGCCGTGGCTGGACCAGTCCCAGGCTCCGGAGAAGGCCTCCGCGCAGAAGGTCCAGGAGGACGAGGCCGCGCTGAACAAGCAGTGAAAAGCGGTGAAGCGGAAAGGGAATCCGCCGATGGCCGGCTTTTGCCCCGAAGCAAAAGACAGGGGGGGGAGGAAGCTATGTCAATTGTATAATATATATATATATATATGTACACATGCATACGTACATAGGTACATAGATGGTTCGCGTCAAGATGGCGGCACATAAGGTTTGCGGCATGTGATTTGCTGAGGCTTGACTTGTGAAACGGCTATGTTTGGTTCATCGCCTGGTTTGTTTGCCCCCTTTCCTGCCCATCTCGAGGATGTCACGCTGTCTTGCCCATATTCTCGTTCACCCTTGCATGATGAACTACACTTGATGCATCTCCCCACACCTTTTTCAGGTTGGAATTTGTTGTTGAATCACGGGGTTCCCACCCCACCGTTTTCATGTTTGTTTCGAAACAATGGTGATTGTTGGCGAGACGCAAGTTCATGTCAAACCCCGGACGGGCATCTTTGACATCTTGCTCATGCAAGCAAGTTGATTTTTGTTTCTTTCGGACCCTCTTATTCCAGGCCGGTTTCTTGCGTTTCAAGCCAGACGGAAGCCAACTTATTTGCTTCGGGGCTGGCTGTAGCTTATGCTGGGGAGTTCCGCTGGCCGAACAGCGGCCGAGCGGCTCCGAAAGCTTTGCTTTGAAACACACAGCCTGGCGGTGCAATGAGTTGATGTGCTGACCAATTGGGTGCGATGTTAGGATAGAGTCAATCATCAGGGGCAAGCAAACAACCATGATTGAAAAGTAATATTGGGCTTCATCTGGTTTTGTTCGCAGAAGTACTTGGATGTACTTGTGACCAGGCTTTCAAAGGCTTGTGCCATGCAAACAACCATGATCGAAAGGCTCAGGAAGAATCGGGCATCCCTTGTTGCCAACCGAGCAGTAAAGGGCGGTGACTTTGGTCTCATTTCGTAAGACGATAGTCAGTCAGTAGGCCCCTCTTCACTGATGGTTCAGTATGGCACCAGCTGGGTGCATGATTTCTTCAGAGATGATTCCATCTTAGCGGAGGTTCTCTCACAGTGAAGTGGGACGACTAGATTGCAAGGTTGGCTAGCAACGTTCTATTCAGCGAGGGTTGCCCTTGTGAGGAACTTCAGCAATTGCGCAGCGAGACTGGCGGCTGCACAACGGGTTTGCCTCAGTGGCTGGTGGGTTGCGGTGCTTGGCTAAGCCAGCCGCTGCTTGCTGAAAAAGATGCGCAGATGTGCGGCTTACATCCGACGCGATACTGTGGCGTAACTGTCTGGGTACACGTCTCCATAAGTATGTATACTGGAGACAGTATATCAAAACACCGTATATGTCGCCATGCACGTTGCATCCCAATTTGCGAGCTTGAGTGCACACATTCGGACAGAGTCCGCTCCAGTCTGGAAGAGCAGATGCAAGAAACTCCCGGCAAAGCGCAAGACAAGTCCCGGCAAAGAGCCAAGCCTGTTGTAATGCGGTGGTGCACAATGTTTATCACTGGCTGAATAATATCGCCTGGGTGGAATGATGCCACAGTGAGGCGTCATGAGCCTTCTAGATTCTCACGAAGCTCAACTCGGAACGGCTGGTGTTGATGAGATCGCCATGGCGTTTAGCCCGCGCAAAACCGAGAAGCCCAAGCGTGCGCCCTTAGGCCGTGTCCGCAGCTCAGTGGTTCGGATCGGGGATTTGAACTCCCAGTTCTTGCAGAGAGGAGGGACACCACCCCGGAAGACCACCAAACCCAGCTCCAAACCATGAGGAAGCTGAAGACGGGACTTGAGGCGCTTGCGGCTGTGCTGGAGGACAAGACCTCGCCCAGAAAGAATGCCGCTCCTGCTGGCGAAGCCGAGGCGTGCAATGCAAGCTTCGGAGGAAGCCAACCACCTAAAGGGTTTCCTCATTTTGCAACCCACTTCGGTAACACCAGTAAACATGTGGCAGGATCTTGCAGATGGAGGAGTGTTTTATCTCTGGTGACAATGAACAGTTTATCAAAGCACCAAACGAGAAAAGTCTTGGAAGGGATCAATGCTCGGAACTTCTGTCGGAGAGACCAACGGAGGCTGAGCGGGCTCTATCCATCAAGAGCGATCGCCGATTCAAGCAGATGGACGCCTTCTCTCGGCAATTCAAGGCCGCTTTCTGAGTGGATACCATGTCTTTCTGGAAGGGAGGAGAGTTGCGAGGGCCAGAAGGACTGGTCTCAATACAGTTGCCATGCAGTGAAAGGGCAAGTGGCTTGCCAAAGCCTACGAAGCGGCCATAGAAGTTTCCCAAACAAGAAGGGGGGCGCAAAACCAGTTCAGCCAACAAGGATTGCCACTAGTTTTGTCACTGCAGGGTGCCATACCTTTGCAAACGACGTGCATGGTCATTGGAGATTGTGATGACCATTCGCGGTTGGTGAGCATTTTCCTTTTGTTTCTGGGGCAATGAGGGAATGAGGGAATGAGCCTTAACCATTTAAGGGGACCAAAGCCGGAACGGTTCATTCCAACTCATTCCCTCATTCTTTTGACCAGCTCAGGCGGTGCCTCTGCCCGACCTTGCCCTGAGCCGTGTCCTTAGACGTGAGAGCGTCAGAGTTTTTGTGTGGCCCCTGTTCAGTTTGTAGTAGTTCACTCGGACATGCTTTGGGGACACGGTGAGTATTCCATTTTTTTTTGTGTGGGCATCTGGATGCTGAAGCAGGCAATGGTTTGGCCACTTGCCTTCATGTAATTGATACCCGGAAAGAGCCCTAAGTTTAGATATACCAGTGAAGACCAAAGTAGCCACAGATAGCGCATATTCTCAGTGGCTTGTGAGGCGTCCCCAGGCCGCATACTGTGGCCGGTGGTGAGGCGGCATCTTAGCATGCAGCGGGGCCCGTGCTGGGCTTTGAGAACTGAAAAACAAAAGGGGGTTAAACTTGTCCTGTTCGGAGATTGAATGACCTGCGGCATGTGTACTTCTGTGGAGGTGTGTGAGTTTGGCGGATCAGTAGTCCGAATTGAACTGGCAGAGATCAATCCCAGCAAGGGAGAAACTCGAGCATGCCGGGTTTGCAGATGCATGAAACGACCGCTGCAGAATTGGATTGCCATACTTGTTCCATGAAAGATTCTGGGCAGCCCTCAGGCAGCTACTTCTAGGCCTTTTCCGGACTGTGTGTGCGTGCTTGCGTGTGCCTGTGCTTCAATGTCAACAGATGTTCGGTGACAGGCAAAGGCTTACTTGGTTTCTGCCCCTACTTGGAGCTTCTGCAAACCACTCGCTTTGAGAGATTCCAACAGCGGATGCAACCCGCCCGTGCCAGGCCGAACGGGCCGCCTGGCCGGAGATAGCTTTCGCGACAGGGCTGAGCTTTGAAATCTCTTTTCTTTGATCAGTTTCTGTGCATGATCCTGATCTTTTGTACATGTGCATGTAATTCTCTCTACCTTCACCTCTCATTTGGCGACTGGAGCGGGTTTGTGAAGCAACTGGACCGCGGACGGCCTGCCCCAGGGAGAAGCTGCGCCTCCAACACCCAGTTCGGCCAGGCGGGTTTTTTTGAACCCGGCCAGTGAATTCCCTCATGGCTGGATTGCAACACCCGCATTTGTGATGCAGTTCGGACTTTGAACCGTCTTCACAAGATGCATCGCCATTTCCGCAGTGTTGGGCTCCGGCGGGTTGTGGCAGTTCCAATACTTCTATATCCAACTTCGTCCAGGGAGTGCTGGAGCAGGAACCCAGCCGTACCTTACTTCTTAACGGGGCTGTCCTCAGAAGTCTTACAGCTGTCTGTCTTGTCTCCAGCCCTTTCCATGGACACATGAGGCCCAGCACATGGCATTGATCGCAGTCTCCCAGGGACGTCAAGAAAGCCAGGGAAACGCCAGGCGCGGTTTGGTCTGTGCTTCCGATTCGGACCTGCTTGGGCCAAGGGGCGGGAAGTAGAACATCGCAGCATTGAGCATGTTGCCCTGTTTTCCGCAATCTTCAATTTTGGCCGAATAAGGATCAGCAGAACATTAGGCTTTTTCTTGCCCCCTAGGACAGTTGATGCATCGACCCTTTGTTTTTAGCCAGGGTCACTTGAGTCCGGGTGAGTAGATCCGTGCTGAAGAGCGCACTACGAAAGCCACCGAAAAACTTCCCTGCGACGAGATGAATGTTCAGGCTGCAAGGTTGCTTATTAGAGTGGCCTACATTTGTTTCCTGGTGTCTGCGCCATTTGAGAGGGATTTTTTTCCGCAGAGGATCCGTGTCGACTCGCTTTGGAACCATAGGAACAGGTTGAATGTGTGTTCCATGCCCCTGGGCTGTGCTGTTCCCTCACCGAGGTGTGAATCTGGAAAGTCTCACTGGGGAGGACAGAAGCAAAGTCCCCAAGGCGCTTTGGCAGGACCTCAGGGGCCCACGTGCGCGTTGCAGCTTCGAGGTAGGAGCAACTCAAGGGAGAGCCCCCGAAAACGGCCCACGGGCTTCTTGTTTGGAAGTTTGGGCGAGTTCTGTTC